TAGTTATTATATATATATATATATATATATATATATATACATATAATTGGCCCCTCCTTTTAATATTATCATCTTTGCCGTGTTTTTTCGTAAAAATTCTTGCACAGAGTCTTAAATCACCACGACATTCCCCTCTTACACGGTACATCATTAGTTTTACACATCATATTTACATACTTTAGGTCAGCAAAGATAAAAAATCTCTAACTGAGCTCAAAGCCCGCACCAGCCTGTATTGCGTATAGAAGTTTCTCGCGCAGAGTCTTTTCATCCGGAAACTCGGGAAGTTTCAGCAGATTCATACAGGTACTCGAGGTCGGTAAACGATCAACACTGCCGGCATGCTGAATGCAGAATGGCGGATCGAGTTCCTGTAAAAACGAGAAAGAGAAATGATTAGAGAAATAATGAAGAAACGGATATAATAATTATTATCAAGGCATTAATAATTGTCGTTGGTTGAATTTTGACTTAATTAACTTTTAACTATTACAGTTTTAATAGTTATATCGTGTACTTTGTACTTAAATTACAGTACGCATGTTTATGAAATACCTTAAATCCCAAAAGAGGAGGGCGGCTACAGCTGGTGACAAACTTTAATAATTGGCCCTTTTGCTGGTCGTTGAACTCGTTGACAACTTTCCAAAAGGCAGTAATAGTTGGATGATCGGGCGCGTATCCGCCCGTGTAGTTCGTATGTAACATCAAATCGTTTACGTCTACGGGAATCTGTGCGCCCGATATGAGTACTTGCAGTTCCTTGTTATTGAACATCTGCAGCCAGTCGAGCGGCACCACGCTGCCGATTCCCTGTTTGAATGCGTAACATTGCGCACGTATCTGTTTGTTCAACTTATAATCGGCCATTAGATGAATATATTCGATGCGATTGTGATTCGTCACAGGAATGTTGGTGCCACTCGGTTTCAACTCGTCGATCCTCCTCTCGCCGAGTTCGTCGCTGAGCACGGTAAAGTCCAGCCCGAGATCTGCCACGTCGCCTTTGTAGCTCTTCAGATAGAGCAAATTGCGATACATAATGGGGTCCAGGGATGCCAAATGGTGCACGTCCACGTCCGATTGACGTCCGACGATTTTCGATAAGAAGAATTCGGCGAATGGCAGCTCCACCAGTAAATTCTCGTACAGTGCTTTTCCCAAGATCCTACCGATAAAATAATAATGTTTCGGAAAATCATCGACCAACAACTGCACCGTGGGATTCGGATAAAGCATATTATCCTTGGTAAGTTTGAAGAAGCCGCGATTAGGATCAAAACTGGTTTTCAATAATTCAGACAAGAATTCTCTGAATAAGCCGCCACCGTCGACACCGGCCTCTTCTAATCCCGCGGTGTTGACCAGTTGTACTCGCATCTTCAGTCGCAGTTCCGGCTCATTTTCCGGCGACAACTTGTCAAAGGCGTCCTCGTAGAGATAGTTTCGTCGCACAGAAATCTGTATCGATGGACCCTGCATGAAGTGCGCGAGTTCGCCCTGTTGTTCCGCTTTATCCTTGTAAATCAATGACTGGAATACCACTACGCGATTGTTGAATGGTACAACGAACGGTATCTCGCGTAGCAGTGTCAACGTCCGCACTTCTGTCGCTGACAATGGTGGTCCCTCTTCAAACTCTTCTCGGGTAAAAGCCCTCAGATTTTGAAAGGGCACATATCCACGTAACCGGCGTCTACGAAACGCGAAATCCTGTGGTTTATCGATGGGAATGACGACATTGGATGCAATCCAGTGGCCTTCCGGACAGAATTGGCGCCTTAGGTCACGTGTATGCAGTTGACGTAAAAGACCCACTGTGACCTTTGATTTATAGAAAGTAGATTTATTATATTTAATAATATTAATTAAATTATATTAATATATTTAAATAAGATATCAAGATATTTAATAAGATACAAGAATATGTAACAGGAGCAAATTTATATATATATATAATAAATGTGATTTTTGTAATACATTCTTTCAATTATACGAAAGATTAAAGGAATATAAATATTTCTTTTAAATAAAAGAATTGATTGATTGAAAAATTGATTTCAAATCAGACAGAGAATATGTCATTAAAAAGTGATATGATAAGAAAAAGCGATAAGAACAGTAAAATTCGATATAAATTTTAGATAAATCATTGTTAAATTCTAAAGATTTAAGAGTAAAATAATCAGAATTAGATAAAACCTTGAACAAATGTGTCCAGATCTGCGTATTGTGTTGGTAATGAGCGGCAGACGTAGGGCCCAGTACGGCGTTCTTGTAGTCATCGCGTACTGTGGGCCGAGTGTCGGGAAACGCGAGTTCCACCAGACCTAGACAGACACCCTTTAGATGACCGGACAGCACCGCCAGCTCTGCAATAGTGAACGGCATTGCGTGTTGTTGCCGATTGTTGGATGTCTGTTCCGTAGAAGCTTGTTCGAGGAAGAATTCTGTGTCGTGTAACGTTGCGATCAATAGACTGAACAACGAGCAGAACACCGCTAGTAACGGAACTATCTTATCGGTGTCCTCGATCGAGAGAGCGATACCACGTGATATAATCTGCAGAAGAGAGGTACCACCGCCGAACAATGACGTCTGACGAATTGATGCCAGTTTGGTCCATAGATGTTTAAGGAATACCGGCTTAAACGCGAGCATATAGAGCAATTTGTACTTTTGAACGGCCAATTTGTTGGTAATGAGTAGGTGATGGCATAATCGGCACAATGGTTGCAGTAGCATGGAAGGATCGGATTGGCTCTGCTCGATCGCAGATAGTATGGCATTTACGCGCTGCTGCTCGTTTAACATCTCGACGCAATGTCGCAGAATGTCAGCCTGCTCTTGATCAGTCACGCTGCCACTGGACTCATTGTCCGAGTCGTTCTCGGCTTGCTGCCGCTCTGAAATATTCTGTTCAGTCATTAACGGCACTATGGTCGAGCTCAGGGACGCAAGTACTTGCAGATAGTTCATCAACGCATCCTCAGATTTGCACCACGCTGTGAAAATAAACGTCAAGGATGAAAAACTGTGATGATTAATTCGTCATATAAGTAAACTTAAGAATATAGAAAAATATTTTGATTAAATAATTTAATAATATCAAAAAAACTAACTAAACCGCTTTATCTATTTACTTTAGGATTGACTGAATGTCGGTAGACACTTTTTGTGCTTACAAAATTGATTAGATGAATCCAACGACAATACGCAGTACAGCAGGTTTATTGTAGGTTCTAATTGCAGTCGATTGATGCAGGCAATCAACTGAACATATGGAAAATCTTTGAATTCTGCCAATGCTGGCACAACAAACATACGAATTGGATCGGACAGTCTGGACGAAAATACACTTTTGCACATTTTTTGCAACACGAGTATCGAGAAGTTTTCCCTATGATCCACATAAGAAATTAAATCCACAGGTCGTTTGATCATGTCCAGTAAACATTTGGAGATTGGCGTTGGCGCGACAGACGTCACCTCCACCATCGGTGGCACTTTCTCATCTAACAGCTTCCTCAATTGTTCGAAGTAGTTATATTGGATTAGATAGATGAATATACTCTCTAGATGCCGGTAACTGTTCTCGCGTAGCACTTTCTCCGTGTCTTCTCGCGTGGTGAATACTCCAAGACTCGCAGCGGTATAGCCAAGGAATAAGCACCATCCGGCAGCACTTCTGAATTGTATTGCATACACATGCGAAGGATCCATCTGTATTAAATAATACGTGTATTATTTAAAAAAAAATACTATGTGTACACTGAACAGCACATAGTGGCTAAACGCTTTATTATAGTAGCTAAATGTTTCATACTATGGTATTCTCTAAACTTGAATCAATAACCCACCGTAGTCTCCACAACCACTGTGATGAACTTATTGACATCAATTTAATTTCTCTTTGATGCTTCAGAAAGTGCTGAAGGACCCATATTAATCTGTTGGCATCCAGGACATAATCATAAAAAAACAGCAATTTTTGCAGGTAGGGCACTAGTTCTTCCAAACTCAGGTTCCTACGTCCTGCTGCCTGTTGTGCCTCATCAAATTCCCTTCTTTTCTGCATATATATTAGTTTTCTAGTGACAAAACTACGCACATGTGCTTGTATCTTCAATGCTGCATCATGCTTTTTGCGCTGTTGCTCCCTTTTTAGCCTCTCTAACTGTGCATGTTGCAAAAGAACAGATCTCTCATCCCGCCTACTAGCACCTGATAAATTCTGTTGTGGCTTACGCCTATAATCTCCTTCAAAGCTATACATGCTGACTCATGATCAGTTGACCAACAGCTTAAATTTATTTCTGAAATATTAGTCAATTATTAAATATAATTATCGTATATAAATTTTTTTGCACAAAATAATTATATAATTATAAGTTATAAATAAATTTAGCATTTTGAAGAAATACATAAATATCATTGATTGATTTATTAAATAAACTATGTGCTTCTTCTAGAAAATATTTTACTCTAGAATATAAATGATTCATGTAAAAAAGTTATATATTATATTTTGTTTTTTATATTTTAATATATTATCTTAACTATTTAATATTTTGTATTACTATTATTATGTCAAATATATGTTTCGTTTTTTAAAAGCTTCATATCTCATGCTGTTGAATCATATTTAAGATTACAGATAATTTTCAACATAAATTAAAGACAACACTTGTAACAATTATGGACACATGCAAACAATCTTCATCCTTTTGAAAGGAATTGATAAGACATTTTCTATCATCAATACTTTCCTATCTATGCCAGGTTCTCTTAAAGTACGTACGAAAGTTTCGTCGATTTTTTAAATTTGGCTGCTCCTGAAAGGTTAATCCCGACCGAAGATTCTCGATGCAGTATCGGTTTAACGGACGCCACAATGATGAATCTGTGCTACCGTGTGACACTTGATCGGTCTTCCACGATTCATTGTCGGGAACGACGGCAGAGACAATGACTCGTTACGAGATCGCGCGTTTAGCTCTTCCATACACGTCTAGTCATCGAAACTCGCCATGTTTCGGCCCCTCTACGAGACCCGATGCTGTCTGCTCGACGTTCACGCTCGACCCCCCACTCGACGTATTCGTAGCGTAACGTGATATTCACTCGTCGTAATGCAAACGCGTAGCTATGAGCATCCGAGCCCGTAATCTCAAAATGCGATTCCTCTCTCTTTCTCTCTCTCTCTCTCTCCAGTACTGTAACGCCGCCGTCTTTTCAGAATAGCGTTTCAATACAATTTTCTCTCTCTTTTTTTTTCCCCATTCTTCTGAGGATGTATTGTGGAATTGTTCAGAATGGATTACTTACTGTCAAAAAACTTTAAAATTTAATTTAAAAAAATGAGACTTAAGTTTCTTTCTCAGAATATATTATATATTTTATGCATGAAAATACACAAATTTATAAAATCACAGAAAAATCAGTGGGGAGAATGTTATATGTTGTATACTCGAAATTGTTCTTTTTTTCTATCGTATCTATTTTAGATTTCTATCGTATTTTTATTATCTTCTCATTTCAAACTATTTTACAATATATATTGTGTCTCCTTTGTGAGTGTCCTAAGCTCCTACGCTTTTGCGTTCCAGTTCTGTCAACGTAGAAACGCGTTAGATGAAAGGACAGAGCTACATTCAAAACGTATCATTTACTCTTGTTCACCAAATTAAACAAAGACAAAATAATATATGAAAACATTCGGGTGATATTTCCGTGAACGTAGTCCAGTATATTGGATATTTCACGAAAAGTGCATGATCGCGCAAGTTACTCGCATAAGCCATGTTTTTGTCCGGATCCAATGAAATTAAACATGGTAGGAACGTATCTATTATACAAATTTGTGAAAATAAAAAATTAGTGTACTATGATATTGATAATCAATTTTTGTATTTAAAATCATCTTAAGATTATATTTCAACCAATAAAATAGCCGTACAAAGCCGTACTTACGTGAGGCTCTGTGCACAAAGAAGAAATATTAGAAACAGAAGTAGAGAAATAAATATTAAATATTAAGATTATGGACAATAGACAACAGAAATAGAGAATAAAGGCAATAGATTTCAATTTATCGGAAATCGTGTATCAATTACTAAATCGACGTATCAACAAACACAGTTTTCGATAAACTAAATTTTGCCTACGTTATTTTCTGTTTGTTAGTTTCTGTTGCGCATTATGCATAGACCTTAACATTTAACATTTAATATTTATTCCAGTTCCTAATATTTCTTCTATAGTGCGTAAAAGCTAACAATTTTAAACACAAGAGCAGACTATCAATATCGGCCTATGTGTGATTATGTCTATAACGGGGCACTTAAAATTTCTTCACTCGTTCCTGGATTTCCAAACAGCGTGGCGAAATATCACGTGACCGTCACGCAGGGATCAAAGATACCGACGCGGAGTGTTCGTACCGGTTACATCGCGGCGGACAGAAGCGGCAGGCGATTATAGGGTGGAGGGGAGCGTGGATGCGTTACGCGCCACGCATGTGCGAGAGAAGAAGCCGGTCCACGGATCGTAGCACCGCACCGGGCGCGGAAGATTCGAGGGAGTCGGGGATCACGAATGGCCGGCGCGTCGCACCGGGCGAGGATGCGGGAAGATGGCGGCGGCGGTGGAGTCGAGCGAGGTGAAGTGTACCGATGTTGAGAACGCGACGGCGGACAGGGCGGGTGCGCCTCGTGCGACGACGCCGCGCCGGCAGGCCGAGCTTTACCGATTCCGCGCCACCGACCTGTTATACTACGCGTCCTCAGTCAGTTTCTTTTTCGCGGATGTAGCAACAGGTGAACAAAGCTGCCATATATATATATATATATATATATATAATACAAATACGCGCCTATGCGTGTGACACGAGGTGTCTCGCGACTTCCAATCCCCGCTTGACAGGTTCAACCTGAAGTAATGTTCAAACAAAACGGAGTGACTTCAATTCGATTGCATTCAAACTCGCATTCTTCGATTCTTGGATTATTTTTTAATGAATTCCATTAATTAATTTTAGTTGGCTTTTTAAATTCTCAGTGAGAAATATGTATAGTTCTAATTAATGGAAAATTAAATATATATGTGTGCATAAATAATATTCACAATTGCAGAAAATCGAAATAAGAAATTTTACCGCGAAAAGATCGTCCGTAAAGTACTAAGATGAGATTTAAAGTCGCGGGACATCCCGTATGCTTATGTCAGCTTCATTTTATGTTAATGATGTTAAAAGAAAGTATCGACTATAAAACGACTACAAAAATTGTAGCTTTTTGAAAAAATTATTTATTGAAAATTTTATTTCTGAATGGAAATGACATATTAAATTAACATTGATGAATAGAAATATATTTTTTTATTATGTTTACACATTTTTTTATTATATTTTATATTTTTACTGTTATTTTAGCAATTAATTATATTTATTAAAATATTTATATAGTCTTTATTATATTATGAACGATAAAACAGCAATAGAAAATATTTGTAATTAAAAATATTAAAAAATGCAGTCATACTTTCTATTATCGTCAAGATGTATATTTTGCGCTAAAGTGTCGATCTAAATATTGTAAAGTTGTAAATGTTGTAAAGTGTTAAAACTTGTTTTTGCATTTGCTCAAAGCATGCGCGGGAAAGCTTCTGTCTTCATAAATCCTGAACTCCTTGTAAGATATTTTTCACACACACAGACAGCGTTGTATGTGTGCAATACCTTTTGCAAGGCCACTCGGCGTGGGGATGCTTTGCAATTGGTTTCACCGTCTTACCCGCTTGTGTTACCCAACTATTTAGTTTGAGATGGCATCGTAGCGACGGTTCTCTGCGGACTGTTCACTGGTTGCTGCACTTTCTACTACTCGGTTTTTTGCACAGGTACTTGGCGTTTATTTTTGTGCAAGCTCCTCCACAAAATATATGTATATACAGATAACATACTTTTTATTAATAATGAATTGCCTGTCAATTTATGTTTGTGTATTTGCACATATTGTA